CTAAGTTTTCTTTTTTCCTCACCCCGAACACGTTCTAATATCTTGGCAATTTTTACTACTAGCATAAATGAAGTATCAGCTTGTAGCTCCCGAGTCGTACAAAATTGTAAGATCATAATTGAGTCCTTTAATGAGTTTATGGACTCGCTCTCTGGCTGTAGGAAGCAAAGTAGGAATATAACGAGCTAACTTATTGAACCTGATGGCATATTCTGACATCGGCATGGTGACCTAGCGCAACCGTTCAAACCCTATGTGCCACACATTACGGAGAGTCTGGGAAAAAACTCTTTCAAAAGCGTTTATGAAAATTGAGCCAAGTGGGCGGTGTTGCATTGGCTGGTCTGCCCTCTTCATAAGCTTGCCACGAATACCGGTGGTGAATTATCTCTTCCAAGGCCAATTTCTTCTTTTGTTATGCTGACTCAACATTGTTGAGTTGACCCACTTCTTAACATACTCTTCGATTCTTCTTTGGGTAACCCTTAACCCTATTTATACACAACGATCACAAAAGTAGAGCTCCATACAGACAAATCTTGGCACGAACCACACAGTCCAGAATCTCATCAGCCATTATGCTTCCTCCGAAGCACCCCAAAATCCGCAACCATGACATCCACATTGAGTAGACCTTCTGCAAATTTAAAGTTGTTTCTCTAACTCCTTTGGTACTGAAGTATAGGATTATTAAGGAGTCAGACATACCGCAAGTCCCAACCTTATCCTCTACAAAATCTCAGGCCTTAAACATGTGTAAATTTTTGGAGAACCTTTCAGTACCACATATATACATTTCAGGTCAAAACTGATATAATACATGACCCCGCAATCCATACATTGATAGTGGACTCCCCCACTCGGCACGAAGTCATAGGTCACCACGTCCGATGATCCACAATATTCACCTTAACAGCTCGTATAAATCAAACAGATGCCAAGGTTCGTTACACCGCCCACATGATTTACTGGTGATCTCTCAATACGTCTGCATCTTCAGTCGGAACCGCACGTTGAGGTAATGTTTGAGCATATCTGTCTCCCACATAGTCCATCTGCGGCATCACGAACCGTCGATGCACAACTGATACTGAGTGTGCAATGTCATACACAAGTGGATACAAAGGAATATGAGATATATGTTTCAAGCTAAATCAATGTCGCACGATAAGGAATGAAAGAAGTGGAATTATTCCTAAATTTTGTAGCCTCTGAAAGATAAGTACAAATGTCTCTGTACCGATCCTTCAGACTCTACTAAGCTTGCTTGTGACTTGTGAGAACTATGTAACCTAGTGCTCTGATACCAACTTATCACAATCCAAAATTCCCACCTTCAGGACCGTGATGGCGCCTAACATTTCACTTGCTAGGAAGGCCAACGTTAGAATAATATTAGCCAATTTAAAATAATATTTAAAATTTAATTAATAACAAAGAAACAAATACGGAAATAAAGTATGAAATAAAGTGAATAATCCATAATAATAGCGATGTTTGAATACCAACCCAGAACTGGTGTCACAAAGGTGCACGAGCTTCTATAATAATACAAACAAGGGTCTGAAAAAAAATAAAGTTATCTGAAAGAAAGCACACAACTAAAATAAAGTAGAAGGGGACTTTAGAGCTGCGAACGTCGTGCAGCTATACCTCAAGTCTCCACAGGTAGCTGAATCCGAGCAAATCTAAAATACGCCGCTCGGCCCAACTCCGCAATCTGCACAAGAAATGCAGAGTGTAGTATGAGTACAACCGACCTCATGTACTCTGTAAGTGCCAAGCCTAGCCTCGACGAAGTAGTGACGAAGCTAAGGCAGGTCGCTTACATTAACATGTACGCAATCATAGTAATATCAACAATAATAAAAATAAAACAGGTAACTCATTTCAACAGTTGAAACCAGCTCGGCAGTCATAACCAATTATTATTTCAATCAATTTCTGTTGCGGCGTGCAACCCGCTCCAACAATATAATTCTTCAATAAATTTCTGTTGCGGCGTGCAACCCGCTCCAACAATATAAACTTAAAAATATAATCTGTTGCGGCGTGCAACCCGATCACCCAATATATTCCTTTTCATTTCAGTTGCGGCGTGCAACTCATTCCAACAATATAATTTAACAATTCTTAAATATAATAAAACAATACTCCCATAAATACCACATTCAGTAAGAAATTATTTGGCAACAAAGCACACAATACTTATAAATTATTTAGGAAACAGTAATGACAAGTAGCAACTAATTGTGGAAATCAGGGAGAAAATAGGCAATTTCATATTTAATATGCTAAATGTCAAGTAGTAATTAAGACACATAAATCAAATAAGCATGTAACAATTATTGCATGAATTCAAGAAATTATATTTGACAAGGAATATGGGAGAAACAATTATTATAACAATTAATTTGTGTCTTAAAATAATTTATGATGTTTAAATAATTATGCAAGCAAATAAATTTGACGACGTATAGACACTCGTCACCTCGCCTATACGTCGTTCACATGAATTTCATATAACAAATCATTCAAGGGTTCTATTCCCTCAAGTCAAGGTTAACCACGACACTTACCTCACTTTGCAACCAATTCAAGATTCAAATACACCTTTGCCTCGCGAATTAGTGTCTGAAATCCTCAAATCTAGTCATAAACAACTCAATATACTCAATACAAATCGTAGGAAGTAATTCCATATCAATTTACTAATTTTCCGAATTAAAATCCAAAATTCATCTCAAAAATCAACAGTGGGGCCCACGTCTCGAATCTCGAAAAAACTTACTAAATCCAAACACTCGTTCCAGGACGAGTTCAACCATACAAAAATTATCGAATTCCAACATCGAATTGACCTTCAAATCATCATTTTAAATTTTTGGAAGATTTTATAAAATTTTGATTTTTCCTCCGTAAATTCACAGATTCATGATGTAAATGAGTATGTAATCATGAAATATAATCAATATAAGAAAATGAACACTTACCCCAATGAATTTCTTGAAAAAACCACGAAATATCGTCACAAACCGAGCTCTCAAAGTCCAAATGTAAAATAATACCCAAACCCTCGGTTATATAGTACAAAATTTGATCCTCATTGTGCTGACCGCACATTTTCTTGAGCGGTCGCACTCCAAATTGTGTGGCCACACTTCAACACTCTGCACTACTAGGCTTCGGTACAATGCCCGTAACTTTCTGTATAAATGTCCAAATGATTAATGCTAGACCTTTTTGGAAACTAGATTCAAAGGTCTACAACTTTTGTGTTTGAATAATCTTCAAATTCGTTGTAGATTAAAAGATATAAACCTCCGAAGTCGGACAATCGAACCTGTAGAACCTCCTGAAGTGCGGTCGTGAGAAGATTTGTGTGGTCCGCACTTTTCCTCTGGAGTGCGGCCGCAAGAAGAATTGTGCGGTCCGCACTTTTTCTCTACGGTCCGCACTTTTCCAAAAGTTCCAGAACAACATAAGAGTATTGAAATACCCGGACTCGCTCAAAACTCACCCCGAAACTCACCGAGCCACTTGGGATCCCATTCAAATATACCAACAAGTCCTGTAACATAATACGGACGCACTCGGGGTTTTAAATCACGTCAAACAACATCGAAATTACAATTCACACCTCGATTCGGACTTATGAGTTCAAACTTTTCAATTTACAAAACCCGTGCTGAAACATATTAAATGAATCTGAAATGACTTCAAATTTGGCACACAAGTCTTAAAATGACATAACAGAGATATTTCAATTTTTGTAAATCTCAATCCGAGTCCGATATCAATAAAGTCAACTCTGCGGTCAAACTTTGGAAACCTTTAGCCTTAAGATTTCTAGTTTCCGTTAAATAGCTATAACTTGAGCTAGGGACCTCCGAATTCGATTTCGGGCATACGCTCGAGTCCCAAATTACGATACAGACCTACCGGAACCTTCAAAACATTGACCTGGATCTATTTTCTCAAAATGTTGACCGAAGTCAACTCAATTGAGTTTTAAAGCTATAATTAATTTTTCATATAAAAAATTTTCAAAAAATTTACGGACTTTGCACGCAAGTCGAGAAAAGATGAATGGTGATATTTGAGGTATCAGAACACAGAAATAATTATTAAATTTCTACGTTTTGGGTCATCACAAGTTTGTGACCTTTTTATTTTACAGACTCCCTTTTATCGCCCTTAACTTCATGTCTTTACAAGCATTCTTCTAAATTCATTGAATTGGGGAAATGGTTAAATTTGTCACTATACTATTTTTAAATTGAGTAAATTTTCTCTCCATTAAACTTTTCATATAATCCTATCCTTTACCCCTCTTCCCTTCCCTGTTAAGAAATTTTTTTATTTTTTTCCTTCATCTCTGGCGGCCTCCAATATGAGAGTAATTTTATATCCTAGTTAAAACTTAAGGAGCAAATATGAATTTTTTTCTCGAAGAATTTAGACATATAAACATCATCCATTTTATGGTGAAGCTTCATCATAGATAAGAACAAATGGAAATAATATGCTAATAATAAGGGTATGAATAGATCAAGAAATTTAAAGGGAGAAAAATTGAGCAATTTTAAATAGATATTCGAAATTCACATGTAATGCATAAACACATGATCTGCACAAGTTAATTATATAAATTACAATCAAATTATATATTATATAATGTACAACTAAACAAGTTACACGTCAAATTACTTCTATAATGAAAAACTCAAAAATAGGGAGAATCCCTATATAATTGGACAATAACTTCTATCCAAAGCAGTAGTGGTAATCTTATTAGAACTTGTAACATATTTATCCTCTCTCCTCATTAAATTCTACCTCATTAGAAGAGTATTGCATCCATATATAACTCTCTAACTCTTTGACATTATACTCCTCATTTTTGAAAGTTCAGAAAAGTTCTGTGTGCGGACTGTAAGGTCATCCCGAGTGAGAACCTCACGACTCAGCATAGGCTTCTGGTCATGGACTTAGAGATCATGAGGAAGCGAAGAAAGAGGGTTGTGTTTGGTCTACCTAGGATCAAGTGGGGAGCCTTGACCAAAACCAGAGCACATGACTTAGGAGATAAGTTGCTGGCTCTAGGAGCATGGAGGAGTAGTGGGGACGCGAGTAGTATGTGGACCGCTACTGCGAATTGCATTAGGGAAGCTACTAGAGAGAATTTGGGGGTCTCGAGGGACTCATCTGGTGGACGTAAAGGGTATTGGTGGTGGAATACTAAGGTTCAAGGTAAAGTGGAAGCCAAAAAAGTGGCATATTTGAAGCTTCTGGAGAGCGTGGACGAGGAGGCGAAGAGGACGAATAAGGAGTTGTATGAGTGGCCAAGAAGAAATCGAATTTAGCAGTTACTGCGGCCAAGACCGCTACATTTGAACGCTTGTATGAAGAACTCAGAGGTAGAGGAAGGGATAAAAATGTGTACAGGCTGTCCAAGGTACGAGAAAGGAAGGCATGTGACCCAGACCAAGTGAAGTGCATCAGGGACGAGGATAACAAAGTTTTGTTGGATAAGGCACTTACTCGACGTAAATGGCAGACTTATTTCCATAAAATCTTGAACAAAGAGGGGGATAGGAACAATGAGCTAGGCAACTTAGAACACTCTGAATGTCGTCAGGACTTTGGGCATTGTAGGCGTATAAGAGTCGAGGATGTTGAGGGGGCTATGCGTAAGATGAGCAGCGGTAGTGCGATCGGTCCTGACAAGATCCTGGTAGAATTTTGGAAGAGCGTGGGTAGCGTGGGCTTGGAGTGGCTCTCTAGGTTATTTAATATTATTTTTAGGATGAAGAAGATACCCGAAGAATGGAGATGGAGTACGATGGTCCCGCTTTATAAGAACAAGGGTAATATCCAAAGTTACAACAACTACCGGGGTATCAAGTTACTAAGTCATACTATGAAAGTCTGGGAGAGGGTGGTGGAGCTGAGGATAAGGAGGATTGTGGATATTTCTGAGAACCAGTTCGGCTTTATACCAGGACGTTCGACTATGGTAGCTATTCATCTTGTTAGGAGGTTGATAGAGCAGTACAGGGAAAGGGATTTACATATGGCATTCATTGACTTAGAGAAGGCTTACAATAAAGTGTCAAGCGAGGTTATGTGGAGATGTTTGGAGGCTAGAGGTGTTCTTGTGGCTTACATTAGGGCTATTAAGGACATGTATGATGGAGCTAACACTAGAATGAGGACTGTGAACACTTCCCAACTATAATGGGGTTACATCAAGGGTCAACTCTCAGTCCATTTTTATTTGCCTTGGGGATCGACGCGCTAACAAGCCACATACAAGGAGAGGTATCGTGGTGCATATTATTTGCAGATGATAATATCCGGATTGACTATACACGAGATGGTGTTAACGAGAGATTATAGATTTGGAGGCATAGTGTAATACCCCAAAAATGTTCGAAGTGTTTTGACCATTAAGAAGATTGGCAGGTGTTAATTATATTAATTCGGGTATGAACAAGACTGGTAATTTGAATGATATTAATTGATCATGATAATATATGTATTAGGTGCATTAATAATGGTTTATAGTCTAAGAAGAGCCCTAAGGCTAAGTCAAGTTGAAAATTATATGATGGGATAAAGTTTTAACTGAGTTAGCACAAGTCCTAACTTCAAATGAGTATAACTCTCAAGATATGAAGATTTATATGGTGTATAACCTATCAAAATAAATTCCTTTGAGTTTAGTTTCCAACTCATCAAACAGTTCGTCATTTGGATATGTATACAGAATGTTATGGTCATTTTACTGGACATGTATCATATGCACGCCTAGATGTGCGGCCGCGCATATGTGAGAGTTTCTGCCTTAGGTGCGCGGCTGTGCACGTAGGAGCCTATTAAATATCCCCAAGGCCAGGTAGAGAGACGGGTTAAGTTATTTTTGAGCTAAAACCTGATATTTGAGAGAGATGTAAAAGTATTTTAGAGAGAGAAGGAGTAAACCTAATATTCTAATCATCCAATATTGCACCAATCTGCAAGAACCAAGGAATCTAATTACAAGATCTTCATCAAAGAGGTAAGATTCCATACCCTAGTTTTCAATTTCGGGATTTGGATTAAAAGTAGGTCATAAGAAGTATGATTCTTCGGTGTAAGAGTATTATGTATACATGTATGGATTTATTATGAAAATATGAGTATGAATAAAGTATTGGAGCTCATGCTATAGTGATTGGAAGCCATAAATTCTCAATTTAAATGAATACCTTTTGTAGAAATTAAAAAGTGATTATTTGATGGAATTTTATTGGTTGGGTGAGAATGGTTGGTCACACATGTGATCTTAGGATTATAAGTTGTTAAAGAATGATGATGGGATTAATTGTTGGTAAATGATGGTAGTTGGAAGAACTAATTCTATGGTTAAGAAATGTATAAATGTATGCCCACTAGGTATTTGGTAAATTGTCTAAATGGCCTAAACAATGGAATTGGTTACTAATGTTGGTCCCATTAGATGTTGATATTGTATATTGAAGTTGCTTAGTATAGTAGATCGGCGTAGTATCATTAAGGGATGAATTTCAGTTTCGGATCATTGCCATTGAATTGAGGAGACAAGAAGGCATTCAGAGGTGGATACGCGCGGAATGGAATTTCTTGAGTATTAATTAGCTTGCTCGACGTTGGGTTTGTCTTGTTGAGGTAAGTAACACTTCTAAACTTGGAGCTAAGGGTATGAACCCTGAATATATGTGTTATGTGATTTGGTTGGAGGTGATGCACATGCTAAATGATGGGTGTATGGGCGTGCACCGTTGAAATTATGACGTAATTAATTCCGTGGAACTTTATAGTAAATTTATCTTGGCATTTTCCTTGTAATTAAAGTAATTTGAGGTGAGAATCATGTTAAAATCATGTTGAAGCTATATGCCAGTATTATTGAGACCCACAGAGGTCATATTGATGTTGAATTTGTTTAAATTGAAATTTGAAACTCAGTCATGTTCATTCATTTATATCATATCTCAGTCTCTGTTGTTATTTATTGATACATAATATCATCATTTTTGGGCTGATTTTCATGATATTTTTTAGCCCGAGAGACTGGAGAGATTTATGACTGAGTGAGCCCGAGGGCCTAATTGTGAGTATATTTAAGGGATCGAGTTATGCGCCGCAGCATGTTTCATTGTTATATACCATGATTGGCTTGATATAGCGCTTGAGCTAAAGGAGCCCCTTCAGAGTTTGTACACACACCCAGTAAGCGCAGGTACCTACTGAGTGCGAGTGTCGAGTGCCGAGCGTGAGTGACGAATGATTTGGGAGGATTGAATGACTGTGGGGCATGAGTGACTGTGAGGATTGAGTGATTGGGAGGACTGAGTGACTGAGAGGATTGAGTGACTGGAAGGACTGAGTGAATTGATACTCTGAGAGTATGCATATGGTTTTATCACTATGTTGTATTGCATTGGCATGCACATTGACATGTAGGCATAGAGATGTACTTTCCTCATGCCATTTGAAAATGAAATTTTCTATCGTGGAAGAAAGTTTTTGGGAAAAATCACAGTTTTCAGACTTACTCATATTTTGGTGATTTCAGTGAAAAGAATTGAGTTTTACTATTATACTTGAAAAGAAAATGTTTATTTTTTTCCGGAACTGTGAACGAGCTGAGCATTTTATTATTGAGTTATTCTTTGTATTGCCTCAATTTTATTGTTATGAGATGTTACTGGGTATTGGTGTGGACTTTGACCTTGGTACAAGCTCGTCACTACTTTCAACCTAAGGTTAGGTTTGTTACTTATTGAGTACACGGGATCGGTTATACTCATACTATACTTCTGCACCCTGCGTGTAGATTTTGGATGTTGATGTTGTTGTGCATAGCGGGAGCTAGCATTGAAGATGTACCTGCGATCCAGTCACAACTGCCTCTTGTTCTTGGTAGCTTTAGAATTATTAATATGTTCATGTATATTTCAAACAGATGATGTATTTTATTGCATACCAGCTTTGTAAATTCAAATCTTAGAAGCTCGTGATTTGTACTACCAGTCTCTGGGGAGTGTATTAGAGTCAGCTAAATATTAATTTAATTGTATTGTTGTTATTTGGCGTACCTAGAGAGTGAGGTTAGGTTCCATCATGGCTAGTCAAAATTTGGGTCGTGACACATACCCTGGAGTCTAAAGGTTTCAAGTTAAGCAGGACCCAGACAGAATACTTGGAGTGCGAATTCAGTGGTTCGACTTAGGTTGGGGACGGAGAAGTGAGGCTTGATTATCAAGTCATTTGATCACTCCCAACTATACCTCCTAAGAGGTCTAGCCGCCATTGCAAATATAATCCAGTTTACAAATCCGGAGTCGAATCCCACAGGGAATTAACCTACTAATCACAATCACTAGTTTCGCAAAAATTCAAGTAATCAACCTTCATAAATATTAAATAATGGTTTGACTTTTATTAACTAAGGGTAAAGTGATTAAAATGTAATAATTTATAACTAACAGAACAAATGATGTAGACAAGAATTTGAAAAGTCTAAGGTTTTGATTTTCCCAATTGTCAAAATCTCCTCCGCTACGTTTCCTATAGATTCGCTCAAGTATTCTCTACCGATCGTGAGTACTTTGGGTATCGTAGTTCTCTCTCGAGAAACTACCACAATTTACTAGACGTATCCTGTAGAACTACACTAGCTGGCACTAATTCAACGTTCACTACGATCGCACCAAGATTTTGTTATCTTTAATCCTGCCTTTAAACTCTCCGTATTGATTTCTCAAATACGTTAGGAGTAATATTGTTCAACAACTACCGATATGTGTACTCTCTCTCGAGTAGTATACAATAAATAGGCATAGTTAATTGAGAGCTTTTCAATCAACAATAAAGAAAATATAGTTGAACAAGCAGAGAAAGATCAACGGCAAATTTATATTAAACATAGTGAAAAGTCATCCTTCAATAGGTTCCATCAAACCCAAGTTGAGAGAGTTCAGCCACTCGTAAATGTATAAATAATCATCATGAAATTCAAAGACACTAAACTACAAAGTAAAGAGATAAACAGAGGGAAAACTCGTTTGATTCTTGCTCCACAGTGTCATGTAGCCTTTTTCTTCTCCAAAATAATGTCCAACCCTTTATCAATTAATTTAAGGAGTATTTATATGTTAGGGTCGAGGTCCTTGAGTCCAAATCCGGGTCGGAGTCTTTTAATTCACGCACTTTTGATCACTGGGATATAGACCTCGCGAGGCCAGGATTATAGCGTGGTCAGCCTGGCTACATAGCTGGCTACGCCTGGCCTATAGCACGGTAAAGCTGGCTAAAGAGCTGGATACTTGGCCTGTAGCCAGGCTTGGGTACTTGGTGTTTTGTGCTCTTTTCTTGAATTTTTGTCATCTTTTCGTGTAACTTTCATTCGACTCTTTCTTCCAATGCTCCTACACATAAAATAACATAATTTAGCTCAAATGTCGCACAATTAATTACTAAACCAACAAAATATAGGGCGAGTAATGTACTAAAACTATAGCATTTTGGCCAAACATCATCATCCCTATGAGAGAGTATTTTAAATAACTTAGGTCGGTTATACAGGGGAATAGAGAGATCGACAAGGATATTACACATCGTATTTGGGCGGGATGGATAAAATGAAGGCTCGCTTTAGGTATTTTTTTATGATAAGAATCTGCCACATACACTTAAAGGCAGGTTTTATAGAGCGGTGGTCAGACTGACTATGTTATGTAGGGCGGAGTGTTGGCCAGTCAAGAACTCCCATGTCCAAGAGATAAAGGTGGATGAAATGAGGATATTGAGATGGATGTACCGGTATACCAGGCTAGAAAAAATTAGAAATGAAGTTATTCGCGAAAATGTGGGTGTGTCCTCTTTGGAGGACAAGATGGGGAAGGCGAGACTTAGATGGTTTGAGAATGTGAAGAGGAGAGACATGTATGCTTCGATGAGAAGGTGTGAGATGTTGGCTCTGGAGGGCCTAAGGAGAGGTAGAGGTAGGCCAAAGAAGTATTGGGGATAGGTGATTATGCAAAATATAGCGTTACTCTATCTCACTAAGGACATGACCATGGATAGGATGGTGTGGAGGTTGAGAATTAAGGTAAAGTGTTAAGATAGGTCGTCTAGCATTGTCCTTGTCTGTGACAGTAGCTTTAGTACTTGAGTTAGTGTTATTAATGTATTTCGTATTCCTTGACTTCT